AATTTAGCACGGCCAATCCACCCTAACCCGCACATCCCTGGGCACTACGGGACAATTTAGCACGGCCAATCCACCCTAACCCGCACATCCCTGGGCACTACGGGACAATTTAGCACGGCCAATCCACCCTAACCCGCACATCCCTGGGCACTACGGGACAATTTAGCACGGCCAATCCACCCTAACCCGCACATCCCTGGGCACTACGAGACAATTTAGCACGGCCAATCCACCCTAACCCGCACATCCCTGGGCCCTACGGGACAATTTAGCACGGCCAATCCACCCTAACCCGCACATCCCTGGGCACTACGAGACAATTTAGCATGGCCAATCCACCCTAATCTGCACATCTTTGGACTGTGGGAGGAAACCGTAGTGTTATAGAACAGAGAGACCGAGTGGGCTCAGGGACATAATTCTTTGAAGTTAGCGTCACAGGTAGACAGGGTGGGGAAGGAGGCGTTTGGCTCGCTTGCCTTCATCGCTCAGCCCCTTTGAGTTTAGGAGCTGGGGGATGTCACGTTGAGGTTGTACAGGATGTTGGTGAGGCCTCTTCTGGAGCACTGTGTTCAGCTCTGGTCGCCCTGTTATAGGAACTGGAGAGGGTTCAGAAAGGATTTTACCAGGATGTTCTGGGAATGGAGGGTTTGAGTTATAAAGAGAGGCTGGGACTTTTTCACTGGAGCATAGGAGGCTGAGGGATGACCTTATAGAGGTTTATAAAACCATGAGGGGTAATGGTAGGTGTCTTTTCCCTCGGGTAGGGGATTTTAAGTCTGGGGGGCGTATTTTTAAGGTGGAAGGAGAAAGATTTAATAAAGACATGAGGGGCAACTTTTTCACACAGAGGGTGGTTCGCGTGTGGAATGAACTTCCAGAGGAAGTGGCGGATCTGGGCACAGTTACAACATTTAAGAGACGTTTGGATAAGGACATGGATAGGAAAGGTTTGGGGGGGGGGGATATGGGCCTGGGGCAGGCAAGGTGGGAGTAGTTTAGTTTGGGGATTATGGGTCGGCACGGAATCGATGGGCTGAACGGTCTGTTTCTGTGCTGTTTGACTTAAATGGGAATAAAAGGCAGGCTGATGGGATAAAGGTGGGAAATTGGCATCGAGGCCTGGAATTGGTCTGGGATAGGTACAGTGGACCATATGGTAGCTGCCCCCCACCCACCCACCGACTCCGTCTGTCGTGCCCTCTCCCTTCACAGATTGCAGGGCCAGTTGTAAGTCCCCCTTGCCTTTGGAATGGCTCTGCCGAAAGGGCCACGGCACCAACCCCTACTGACTATATCTTGAATGTCTTTGCCTCTACCCAACATTGCCATCTGCTGGCATCACAGGATAGCGTATAGACACACACACACACACACACACACACACACACACACACACACACACCGAGCACGCACCTCCAGACCCATTCAGCTCCCCCCTCCTCCTCGAACCTGTTACACAGGAACAGGAGGCCATTCAGCCCTATAGAGTCATAGAGTCACGCAGCACTGTGTTTCGGCCCAACCCGTCCGTGCCGACCCAGATATCCCAAATTAATCCAGTCCCATTTGCCAGGATTTGGCCCGTATCCCTCTAAACCTTTCCTATCCATGTACCCATCCAGATGCCACTGTATCAGCCTCCACCACTTCCTCTGGCAGCTCGTTCCATACATGCACCAGCCTCTGCGTGAAAATGTTGCCCCCTCAGGTCCCTTTCCCCCTCTCACCTTAAACCTATGCCCCTCTAGTTTTGGACTCCCCCAACCCATGGGGGAAAAGACCTTGTCTATGACCCCTATCCATGCCCCTCATGATTTTATAAACCTCTATAAGGTCACCCCCTCAGCCTCCAACGCTTCAGAGAAAACAGCCCCCAGCCTCTCCCTACTGCACATGCCCTCCATCCCAGGCATCATTCCTGGTATATCTTTCCTGAACCGTCTCCAGCTTATTACTATCCTTCCTACAACAGGGTTACAAGAACTGGACTAACCATTTTTCCTGAATTCACATCCAAATTGTTTATATAAATGATGAAAAGCAGTGGATCCATCATTGATCCCCGGGGATCGAGTCTCCAACACCACCCTCTGTCTTTGTCTTTCGAGAGATGAGGCAGGGAAGGAGATTGAAGGAATGGGGACAAGAGGGGGAGGGAGACGGGGCACGGGGGACGGGGGAGGGAGATGTGGACGGTGGGGGGAGGGAGATGGGGACGGGGAGGCGGAGGGAGAGGGGGATGGGAGAGGGGGAGGGGGGTGAAGAGCGGGGGGGGGGGGTTGAGGATGAGGGGAGGGACAGTTGGGTGAGATTGGTGATGTGGGGTAAAGGGGAGGAGAATGGGGAGGGGGGGAGCGATGAGGGAGAGGTGGAAGATGAGTGAGGGAGGGTGGTTTATTGAAACTGGGGAAAGCCCACAGAGCAGAATATCATTCTGGACCTCAGGATGGGCCAGTGGGATGACCTGACATGGGAGGAGTTACAGTTTAACACTGAGAAGTGCGGAATAATAGATTTTGATTTAGAGAATGAGGAGCGAACTAACTCGGTAATACTGAGGGTGAGTGTACATATAGCTTTGAAGGTGGCTGGAATATTTGAGAGTGTCGTTTTTAAAATAAATACAAGGGACTCATTTATAGAGATAGGATTCACTGACAATTTGCTAAACCTCATTAAATCTTTAGTTAGTTTCTCAGCTGGGGTATTGTATCTCGTTCCAGACCCCAAACTTTAGGAAGAATGTTAAAGCTTCGGAGAGTTAGCAGAGGAGACACCCTAGAATGGGACCAGGTATAAGGAGTGGGAATTGGAGGAGGCCATTCGGCCCCCTCAGTCCTGCTGCACAATTCACTGGAATCGTGGCTGATCCGACTCTCCTCCTGTCCAATTTCCATGTAACCCTTGATTCCCAGGCTGATAAAGAAACTCAAACTGCTCAAGATCTCTGCCCCCATGACAAGGGGTTCCGAAGATTCACAACCCCCTGAGAGAAGAATTTCCTCCTCATCTCAGTCTTAAATTGGCACCTCTTTATTCTGAGAATATTCTGGTCCTAGACTCTCCCATGAGGGGGGAGAGTCCTCTCAGCATTGACCCTGTCAAGTCCCTTTTTGTTTCAACGAGATCCCCTCTCATTCTTCGAAACTCCACTGAGTAGACTGCCAACCAGTTTTATCCTGTGCTCATGCGACTATCCTTCCACACCAGGGATCATCTTCCTGCTAATGTGGAGTGACTGGGAGAAGATGGGTTTGCTCCCCACCTCAGAAGGGGCCAAAGTTAAGGGGCTGGATTTAATTGTAGCGCTGAAAATCCACAAAGGGGTTTTGACAGAGTGTGGAAGGAAGCGTTTCCAGTGTTCAGGAGGGATTTTGTGATTGGAAACAAAAGGAATTAACTTTCAAAAGGGGGAAATTGAAGGGCAAGAGAAAAGAAGAGGGGGGGTGGGTATGTGAGGTTCCAGTCTACAGGAGCCTAATTCCACACAATTTAATGTTGACAGCACCCTGTTCGATGATGTTGGTGTTACAATGGGAGCTGCCTATGTCAACATGTCACACTGCAGTGACAGTTCCCTGCCAGTGGCGGTGCTACAGAGCCTCGGCCTGCACCACAGAGTAAAAGTAACTCCATCCCAGTTCTACTTCCGCTCTTCACAATAACCGCCAGTTTTGTGATTTACTGTAACCAATTAACTCTTATAGAATCAACGGTTTTCCGATTCAACCATTCTATAGTGAATTAATTTCACAAACGGAGCAGATTTGTTGCCATGAGGCACAGTTTGACTCCATTGTGACATGTAAAGTCATTGCTTCAGCACACTCCCACTGCAGGCTTCAATCCTATCTCAACAACTTCAAGGTAGGTAACACCTCCAGCAACCTGAGATGGGCCAAGGTACTGGGATGTCACCCCCTCCAGCCTCTACGCCTCCTCCAGCCCCTACACCCCTCCCCATTGCTGTTACCACCTTCAGCCCATACACCCCTCCAGCCCGTACACC